TTTGTTGAGTAATCTGGTTTCTTCTCATGCTCACAAGTATTTCCTGTTTTGTTTCATTTAAAAATGTCTGTTTAAATAATTTCAATATTGTAACAGTCTAACCAAGTCAGAAATATGGGGGAAAGGAATTTATTTTCTTTGCGTAATGATAGATAACACATCTGCACCTGTGTGGGTAGTAGGCAATAATGAAGAAACGCAAACTCTCAATAGGAAAAATATTTGACGTCCAGTTGCATTTCTGTTACAAAATATCATTTCAGTTGCTTAATTTTCACCCTTTCACTCAATTAGTTACAAAACACAAAACTGAATGTCAGACTCCAGGTCTCCTACTTTCCTCTTTTGATTCAAAGGCAAATTCACTCAAGTCTCAAGGAGTTTCATAAAATAAAATCATTACTGTAACAGTGCTGAACTGCAGCTTGCTGTTAAATAGTAACCCCTAGATGTCTGTATATGCAAGTTAGCATGTAGTTACAGGAAGCAATTTAGAAAGAAAATGATATATTCCAATCCTTGAGTAATAAAGATCTAGAGTGAAGAAGTTTTCCTGGCTTGGCAAGACCATATCTGGCATCCTCTGTAGCATTTGGATCTCTCCTTACTTGGGAAAGAATATATTTGCCTTGGAAGGAGCGTAAAAGATTCACTAGACTGATGGATTAATGCTTATATACCCTAGTATAGAGAAGAATGATCTTAGTGAGGTGTTTAAATTATTAAGGGGCTTATCAGAATAGATGCTGGCAAGGTGTTGCCCTATTTGGGAACTTTAAAACTATGTGTCACAGTCTCAGAATAAGGGGTTGACCATGTAAAACTGAGATGAGGAAAACTTTCTTCAATCACAGGATTGTGAATCTCATATTTTCAACCACTGAAGGCTGTGTGTATTCAAACATTGAGTATATCTAAGACAGTGATTGGTAGTATTTTGGGACTAAGGGAATTAAGATATATGGAGATAGGGACATGGGAACAACAGTAGGCCATTCAGTCCCTCAAACCTGCTCTGCCATTCCATAAGATCATGGCTGATCTGTGACCTAACTCCATATGCCTGCTTTGGGCCGATATCTCTTAATACTCTTGCTTAATAAAAATTTGTTTCTTATTTAAATTTAACAACTGAATTAGTATCAACTTCTGTTTGAGGAAGACAGTTCCAAACCTCCACTTCTCTGTGTGTAGAAGTGCTTTCTCACATCTCTCCTGAAAGGCCTGGCCCTAATTCTTAGACTATGGCCCCTTGTTCTAGAATCTTCATGCAGTAGAAATAGTTTTATCGACCCTGTCTTTTCCTCTTAATATCCAGAAAACCTCAATTAGATCACTCCATAACCTTCTAAATTCTACAGAATAAAACTCAAATTTGTCTAACTCTTCCTCATAACTCCTAAAATTCAGGTATCATCCTTGTAAACCTGCATCCCTGCTGTGCCAAAACAACTTCTAAGGTGTTGCCCAGATCTGCTCACAGTACTCTTAAATGGAGTCTAACTAGGGTTTATATAACTGCAGCATAAATGTCTGTATCTGTATACTCCAGCCCTTTATGTATGAAGTCCAGCATTCCATTTGCCTTCTTGACTATTTTCTGCATTTGTTTGTGACATTTTAAAGAGTTATGCACTGAACCCAAATCCTGTTGGACATCCACTGTATCCAACTTTGTGCCTTTTTAAAATTACCCTATCCTATCATTTTTCGGTCCAAAATGGATAACCTCACAATTGCTTATCTTAATATGCATCTGCCACAACCTTGCCCATTCACCTAATCTATCAATATCCGTTTGTAAGTTTATGCAGTCGTCAACATTGTCTACAATGCTGCCCAATTTAGTGTCATCAGCAAATTTGGATATTTGACTTTTTATGCCAGTATCCAAGTCATTAACGAATGTTCTGAATAACTGAGGCCCCAACACAGATCCCTGTGGGATACTAATAGTCACATCCTGCCAATTTGAGTACTTGACCTCTGTTTCCTGCCATTTAAACAATTTCCTATCCATGTCAGTATGGAAAAGGTAGAGTTGAGGTAGATTAGCTACAATCACCTTGAAAGCAGTTCATGTTTGAAGGACCAAATCTTTTTTCGGAGTTGGAGTGAGAAGAGAGGCCATGGATCCTCTGGTTACTACTTGATATGGGAAGGGATTGTTTGTAACGGTCGTAATATAGTTGGAGAGCATGTTGTGAGATTTGAAAAGGGTTATTTCAATGAGCAGCAAAAACTTTATTCGGGGCCTTTATACCTGGAATTGGGGGAAGCATGGACACAGGTTTAATAACAACAACACTTAGAAGAGGAAAGGAAGACCAAAGATGGAGTGATAGTTTAAAGGACAGAAGGACCAAACGTATATTTTTAAAGAGAGAGATGATGACACTGGATTTGAATGGAGGACAACAGTTGCAGAAGAGAGGAAACACTACAACAAGGGATCCCCAATTGTTAAAGGACGTTTTTCCCAAGTGCACTAGGAAGAAGGGAAACAACAGAAATAACTGAATGGATAATCTCAATCTTTGTGATAAAAGTTAGGTCCTATGAGGTCTTAACTTTTTCTAATGAAGTGGGCTAAAGGGCATGGGGTGACGTAGGACGCAAGAAATTTATCAAAGATGGGCTTATCTACGCTTGACACAATGAAAGTAGCAAGCTCAGGTAAAACAGCAAGATAAGGAAACAAATTAATATGGAGGGAGAATATTCTCAGTTGATTTGGAGGTTGAGAGTAAAGTCACTTGCAGCAGAAGCTGAAGGTAAAACTAAATGAATATATCTCGGTAAATTCTTGTGATCTTTCTTGAGAGTGTAGAACCTATGCCTAATTATCTTCAGCCAGAAGTGCAAATTCAAATGAATCATTTTGGTCCTCAGGTTCGCACGATCATGGGTCAGTTATCAAACCAATTTGATTCATCCCACATAATATCTAGAAATGGCTGAGTGCACAAGATAAGGCAAAGGCTGTCTATCCTATTGCCAATGTCCAGCTGTAGTGGAGGCTTGTACTTTAGAATGAGCTACATTTCTAAACAAGCTATTTTACTAATCCTACACCTGGCACCTTCCTGGCCAAAATGGAAAATTCCCACATACATCCTCTCCACTCTACCCAACTACCATCTTTCTACTTACAACTTCAGAAAGTGATGGAATATATTGTTAGCAGTGCTGTTATAGTTCACCTACTCATCAATAACCTGCTCACTAAGCTTAATTTTGGGTTTTGCCAAAGTACTTGGCTGTAGGCCCCAATACAACTTTAGCCCAAATATGGACAAAGGAGCTCAATTCTGGAGCTGAATTGATAGTTACTGTGGCATAAAAGCAGCATTTCATATGATAGGGCATCAGTGAACCCTAGTGAAATTAAATGAATCAGAATCATGGAAAATTCACTAGCTGTGTCATACCTAAACCAACAAAATTGACATAATTGAGGAAAACCAATCACGTCAGGCCCATGCTATGGCTAAAGTTCCTCAGAGCCCAACTAGATCCAGCTACATCAATGTCCTTCTCTCAATTTCAAGATCAAGAGTAGGTTGTTCCATTCAACTTTTCAGATTAATCTCAGCAATAAACTAACTAACTCACCTGTCTCCAACAACTGTCTGACCAATTCACTTGAAGTTCAATGGCATGATCATTTTGAATTTCTTGATATCACCGTGCTAGGATCATGACTGACCAGAAACTTAACTTGATCATATAAAAATTGTGACTGCAAGAGCTGGAAACATTGCAGTGAGAATCTCACCTCTTTAACCGCTAAACCCTGCCCACTGAAAAGCACAAACCAGGAGTGTGATGGAATACTCTCCACTTGCCTGGCTAAGTACATTTTCAACGTTCAAGAAGCTTAACATTATCCAGGACAAAACAGCCCACATGATCTGCATCCCTTGCATTACCTTAAACATTCACTTCCACCACCACCAGAGTATTATGTATCACCTACAAGCTGCAGTAGTTCACCAACGCTTGTCTGGCAGCACTTTTCAAACCTTCAACTTCAACTGATAAGAACATTGAAAGTAGGCACACATGAACATAAATCTCTAAGTTCCTTTCCAAGTCACAGATGATCCTAATGTGGACACATATAATTATTCCATCACCTTTGCTTCATCTAAATAAAACTCCCCATCCACCGGCACTACTGGACTACCTACGTACACTGGCTGCAGCACTAAACGAAGGCAGCTTATCACTACCCTCCTAAGTGCAACCAGTGATGTGTAATAAATGCTGGTCTTGCCCATGACACTCATGTCCCAATAAACAAATTAGTTAGAAAAAAAATCTTATTGTATCGTGCTTGGTTGATTTGCAAAGGCAAAAAATGTATAAAAGTTACAAATTATTAAACAATAACTATATTCAGCAGAGTTTCTCTTTCTTTAAACTCAATCTGCAGGCATTGACATGAGATATGGTTCAATGGTTATAACCCCCATAGTGCTATCTTAGCAATACAAAGAGACGATTTGGTGGATATGCCCCCAACGCCAACAAACATTGAACTGGTCTTGGCAGATGGTACCACCAACTACTCTACCAAAATGGGAAAATTTTGATATGTGCCAGGAAATAGAGAGCCAAGGATATGGTACAGTCAGTGCCAAAACTGATCCTGCCCTCACCAAATGCCAGACACTTGTGCAATTTCCAGTTGGAGTCAAGAAACAATCAGGAGCAGGTCTTGCCCAACTCATCTCATTGAGGTAGCCTGCGCTTCAACTGTGGTTCCGTTAGGATCAAACTTGAATCTGCCTTGTCTATAGGCCCAGTTTTATATTTGATACAGATCTAAAAATTAAACTCTAATACACAGTTTCATAAAATAGAAATATTCACAAAAATGATAAAGTGGCACAGATTAATTTATTTAATCAAGGTAAAACTGAAGTAAAATTTATTCTTCCATAGCAAACAGCTTATTGTGTAAAAAGAAAATTATAGCATAAAAGGCCATCAAGTAGATGTGGCTTTGGATATAGTTTATTCAAGATATTAAATTGAATTATGAATACATGTATCATATTTACAAAATGGAATGAAGACAATTACCTAAAGGCATTATAATAATGGTAATAGCCAGAATATAATGATTGTAAATATGTACACAATTTATAGCAACTACAAACCAGATAGTTAAAACATAATACATTCCAAGAGTAATGACATTAACAATGTATATAACAATTTACTACTGCTGGGACAGAACCACAAGAACTTACTATACACCTTGAGGTGTCCAAGACCTCACTTTGTTTCCATGCAAAATCCTTTCAGAGAAGAGGTCAATTCAATCTTTGCAAAAACACCCTTGAAACCAAACATCCATCATGAAATAAAATGGAAAAAAAAAACACTTAAAATATCCAACCGCATAAGTAAGACGCTTCTTAAAGTATGTTTTTTGGACTTTTCCAAGACACCTTCAAAGAGTCTGAAACAAATACTGAACATTTTTTACGCTCTACTGGAATTTTCTCAGCAAGGGCAAAGCTTCAGCTTCAATCGATACTTATATACAAAAGTGAGCGGCATTCTGTTCAAGTTATTTTAGAGTGTTATCTTCAAACACTACAGGTTTAGGGAGGATTTACAGAAATCATATCCTCCTATTGCCACACTATCTTTCCTCATGTAATGGAACTTAAAATAACTCCACCTAAATCACGAATCTCAGAATTGTTTTTACCATTCTAGAAGGTGATGAGCACCATTTTGTTATCTGCCCATGCAAAGGAAAGAATTTCAGAATTTCAAAAGATGAAAATTTTCCATGATCAATACTCAGGCTGAAAATTGAGTACACATACAAACCAGTGCATTGTTTTGATTGGGTTAATAATACCTAACATTCAAACAACATTACGGATGACAGAATCTAGATTTGGACTTACTATTTGTGCAAAAATAAACAAACCGCATTAGGGATATTAAAGTATGAAAAAATTATCCTCAATTTTTCTTCCCTTCACAATGATATCAATTCCTTGATGGGATAAAGCTCTTCTACTACCTTATTTAATTTGCCACTCTATATTTGGAAGAAGAGGCTCAAGAGACTACATTGTATCAATGTCAAGCCAGGCCCTGTTTTTGCTCAATAATTGTCCAATAGGGATAGCACTAAGGTATTAAAAAATCCTGGTGATTCCTCGCTCTCTAATTCGTGGAGCATTGAGTGCCACTACTGTTGTGCTCAGAAAAACAAAGAGGATTAAACTGGAAATTTCTGTTCAATATGGCCCAGTAACCTTGCATTTTTTTTTTAGAAATCACAGTTTTATATATTACACAAAGAGCAATATCCAAAATAAATCAATATCCAGAAATAACAGCATGAACTTGAAATAAAGAATCACTTTCGCCAAATTAGGACCAAATACACAGGTCAATTTTCTTAGAAGAGGGGGAGTCCTGAAGCTGGGACCATAAGCAGGTCCTGAGCCTGAACAAGTGGGCAGTGATATCACACAGTGTTAGTTTCCCTTGAAGAGGCTTCTTAATGAGTTGCTACCCAATCTCCACTCAATTAAGATGGTGATCGGGCAATCCACATTGCTAATCTAAACCAGACAGTTGGCAGTGTAGAAACTTCCACAGTGCCACTGAGAGGTGGCCACTTCTGAGACAGCAAGGGAAGCAATTTGGTCCTTCCAGACTGTTCCATTATTCAATAAGATCATAGCTGATTTGATTGTGGCATAAACTTCATATTCCAATCTTCTCTGGATGACTAATCACTCCCTTCTTAGTTAAAAAAGTCTGTACCTCAACCTTGCAAGTATTCAATGATAACAAGGTGAAGAGCTTTTTTCTGAAGAAGGGTCTAGGCCCGAAACGTCAGCATTCCTGCTCCTCTGATGCTGCTTGGCCTGCTGTGTTCATCCAGCTCTACACCTTGTTATCTCAGATTCTCCAGCATCTGCAGTTCCTACTATCTCCGAAAGTATTCAATGATCATGCCTTCATTATTTGAGGGAAGAGTGTTCAAAAGATGCATGTCCCTCAGAAAAAAAATCCTCCTCAGCTCCATTTTAAATAGGAGATCCCTTTTTAAACTCTGTTCTCTCGTCTTTCCTAAATCCTGCTTTCCGAAATCCTTTCAGCATATACCCTGTCAAATTCCATCAGAATTTTATGTGTTTCAATCAGATTACTTTTCATTCTTCAAAACTCCAACACTTCAAGGCCCAACCCTGCCTAACCTTACCTCTCTGTCCAATTAGTCAGAGGGGCAGTACAGAATAGTTGTTGAATTTATACAATAAAAATTAACAATTATGTCAAAGTCTGCAGCAGTGTAATTTTCTTTGGATTCAATTAGTCTAAGACAATCAATGGATTGAAATCATGGTTGTGCACAGTCCAATGTTGCATGTTCACTGGTTCAGCTAATAATTCTTCTTGGAGACAAAAGTTCACTTTTAAAAACATTGACACAAATACCTGCACACCTATTCATGCCTTAAATTTTGAAACAAAAATCAATAAAAAGAAAGAAAAAGCATTAGCTAAAGATATAGAAAAAGGTTTTTAAAATGATGTGACATATTTTATCTTATTCTTTCTGTTTCTTTCTCACAATGGCTGATAATTAGACATTAAAACTATCAGAACATGTCCAAATCTAACAGCTGAAACTTTGTGCCATAATTATGGTTGGATCTCAACTACATTCCTGCACTTTTCAAAATGATTTGTTTCACACTGCTGACATAGTCATTGGATAAATCAATGTCAAACCAGTTGCTTAGCTCTTGGATATTGCATTTTTGAAATATTTGATATTGGATCAGTTTTTGAGGTGTTTATACCTACAAAATGGGAAATATAATTCGCCCCATCAGTCCCTAATAAGCCACCTCTTGCTGAAGTATGTGGCCAGTAGTTTCTGTTCACTCCTCCTGTACCTCATTCAAACAGGCATGTTTTAACATAGTAAGCATTGTCAGAAACTATTAAAAGCTTATTTAATACGAAGAGACGAAGCTCATTCTTTTCACATACCAGATATCTGCACTGGTGCACCTAACTTCAGGGTATATTGGACAGTGATCAGGAACATGACTGTGAACTGAATTCCCCCGTTCCGCTTCAGGATTAATAAATGCTCAGTGCATCAACGCTTGTGCTATATGCACAGCATCCATGATCAGCAAGTCATTTGTCATTCTTATCATCTAATTTCGTTCAAAACATTTCTTAGGTTTTGAGTAACCTCACTTTCACCCAGGTATAAAAATCAGGCCTGCTAATCCACCTTTACATTTCACTTTAATATTAGGCAAAAAACCCTTTCCTTTAATCAATTCTATTAATCAAATGAAGATTAACTAATTCATGTTGCAAATGTATTTTACAAACTGATTTTGGGTAGGAACTAAATGCAATTTTGAAAGTTGCATGTCACATAAAATGTAAAAACAAAATATTCCAATCAGATTCAACATTTAACCTACTCATCAAAAAAAATGGGCTTGTGCCAAGAGTTAAACATATCCAACATTTTGTTTTGTACCATGTTGTTTAAAAAAATCATAAGTTTTGCATTTGCAGCATATACAGGTGCCATTTTATACACAAATTAATAGACATATCAAAGCAAGAAAAAAAATATAGAACAAAACCTATCCAATGAGCATGTTGGAGTTACTTGGGGAAAAAAGGGGTTCAATTAAGAAAATTAAGGCTTGAAATGGCAGGTTGCAAAGTCAGCGGCCACATGAAGCAAACAGAGGAAATGTAAACAAACTTACATACTTTATATAGTACAGCCTTCTATTTGAAATCCACAGGTAGGAACTCATCTGTTGTAGGTACTAACAATAGTGACGTGTGTACGTCACCAAACTTAGTAAGATTTTCTGAGCAGTCAGACAATGGAATACAAGACAAAGCAGTTTTTCAGAAGTGGAAATTTCAAAAATTCATTAATAGGTTACATTACTGGGATTTCAGAACCTGGCCAGAAGAAAGGCTGCTGCACAGACACATATTAAGGTCATTTCATAACAATCAAAGCAATTGTACCTCAATTTAAAGCTGTGAGGATCACAACAGTTCACACAAAATCTAAGAACACTGGTTACTATACTTTTCTAACATTGAAAAATGCCATAATTTCAATCATGTTTCAAAATATTATATTAAAAGGGGCGTAGATCAGGAAAAGCAAAATTTTCCAAAATTCCCATAATTATAAAAAACAGTTGGTACCATTCCACACCAAGTCAGACGCTCATGGGTTGAAGTACACCCCTCCTTCCCCAGTCAAGATCTGAGTACATGAATTCTACCTTATAACATCAGGTGAATTGCTGACTAAGCAGCACATAGTCAGGTGCTGTTGTTTGGATGAGACATTTAACCACGGCTGTGTTCAAATAAGCAAAAAAAATCATCTCTCAGAATTACTTGAAGATTAGCAGCCATTCTACTAGTCTCCTCGCCAATACCCCTCCTTCAACTACAACCAAAAGTGTTCAAGCATTCTTTCATTGCATTGCTTTTTCAGGCATCTTACTGAACGAAATTTGTCTGCTAATTTGTTTTCAAGTTTAATAAATGACTGCACTGAAAAAGTAATCCATTGACTGTGAAGTGCTTTGAAGTGTCCTGAAAATTTTACAAAGCACTATATTTATTTTCCTTTTAGATAGCCAGTTAGCTAAAACATTGGTGTTATGTTTATTATCCCAATTTTCTTAAGCACCAAATTGATGTGCTTGGGAGCATATGGTTATCAATATGTAGAATTTCCAAACAAAAAGTTCAAAGCTGCAGAACAAAATTGTAAATGAGCTGCTCACAGAAATACTTCCAAATAAATGTATGTATAATGAAGGCAAACTCACTAGTTACAATTTACTATTTGCCAAACTGGATTTTCCTTTTGTTTTATTGAAATTTTGTCATTACTTCAACAATTCAGAATGCAGAAAGCCTAACAAAAGTAAAGTGTATTTCTAATATTCTCTGTACTTTCTTTTAGCTTGAAATTTTTTCTTTTTATTTCAGTTTTGCTCTTTCTTGTGCAAGTGTCGATAGAATCATGAATGCATATAGTGTTCAGTTTTCTTAGATAATGAATTACATCAGAGAATGCAATGTGCCAGTTTTTCATTTTTTGCATGAATAATGAGAAAATGGAGCTTCATGCACTGGAATACATGACAGTGATGTTTACATGTTAGTCTGAATCTCAGCTTACACTTCTATTGTTCAATATTTTTTAACCATAATGCTGGTTTCCTATAATAGATTATCCTCAAAAGAAGAAAAGAATAAAGTGATGACGAATGAGAATTTTCAGTTGGAGAATCACAGTGTTCATTGCTCTATCACCATCAATTTCAATTTAAACATCAATGATCAGAAGGAGAAATACTGAAGTAAACAAAATTTTTTAAAGTTACTGTCTTCCTAAACTAAAGTTTAAACTTTACATCATATTGGAATTGCACAAAACCCTTAAATTGTGCATCAAGAACTCTGCAATAAAAACTAAACAAACATTCTGAAAACTATAAAAAGGTGGTAAACACATTGAACAACGGGTCTTATCAAAATAAGCCCTCTTTCAACATTTTCACAAACTGTACAGTATTATTTTGCTTTTTCACTTATTAAATGTTTATGGGTAACCATAGAAAGAAAGGCAGGAAACAGAAATCTACTCTAACAGACTAGAAAGCAAAAAGTCCTTCCATCTACTGCAGTCAGTCAATCTTCAAAAGGGAAAGACAGATATTGGAAGCAAACACCTTCTCCAAGCCTATCTTATTCAGAAAACACATACAGGGGTAAAGCTTTCTGTATTAGAGTTAATTCAAGCCAAATTTTGTCAAATTAGTTGCTGTGAAAAATAATAAGTGCTTTGAATAACGTTCACCCAGACTTCCTTTACTGTTGAAGTTTGATATAGATTTCAAAGATTTATGACTTCTATGGTTCCACTTATTCACTTTGACTACTTTTGTTTTCTCTAACTTTTCTTGAATACCATTCTCCTCTATTTAAATATTACAAGTTACATCTCAAAGTTCTCATTTAGTGACATTCACAAGCTCTCTGACTATGCACTGTGGTCACAAGTACAGGAAGCTGATTGTAGTGTTGTTAACTGTATTGCAAAAATATGATTTTTAAAAACATGCAGAGTATTTGACACTAGGAGTGTCATCTGTTAAAGTCAGGAGATAATGGCCAATAAAAATTGTCACAACGCCAATATTAGAATGCGATTATATGTCACTTTGAGACAAAGTTGTTGGACATCAGTGATACTCAAGACCGGTGCTAGATAACGTACACTGGTCATTAGAGTACTTCCTATCATATCTTCTATAGAAATTCAAAAGGATACTACACAAACCTGTAAGGTCACATTTAAACTTTCTGAATTCCAATTAGACTTGGATGTCTGATTTGCCACTTCTCTATTTAAAAATAATATTCACCAAAAATAAAATTAGGATGGGTCTCCCAGGTCTTTACATAATTAGTGCTGATCGATCCAATAGTTGATTACTGTGCAATGCCAAGGATAAACTTTATATTTACGGCTAGTTGCTGCCTCTATAACAAAGAGGGTTCAGATCACACACACACACACACACATCTCATTCTTTTGTTCTTTGCCCTGTTATTTTGTACAGGATAGCACAAATGATTGTCAAATTTCAAACTCCATGTTACCATTCTGTAAGCTTTAACCTTACAATGGGAGAATAACCACCATCTATTTGTACAATGGAAGTATGATGTTTTAATCCCACTGTTCATTAGAATTGCATTTAAATGCTGGCTGCATATTTATTGGCTCCTGAGAATGTTGCAAATGAAGTTTCTTTCTTGCAAGTATTCCGATAAACAAGTTGCTGTTGTTTTGCCGACACTGGCTGGAGTTACTTAACACGTTTTGGGGACAAGTGTGAATTTTGAGAGTTTTCATTTCTCTATAGATATTTACCAATAAATTCACACAATTGTTTCACTGGAATCTTTCCTTATCAGCTTTGATGAGAGGAGAGAATGTGGAGTAGCGCTGTTATAGTCTGCAGCCATCAATCGCACCTTTTGGTTGGTCCTTCGCCATTCTGAGTAGAGCTGGCAGTGATAGCGGAATGAAACCTTTGGGCAAAAATCAGTATATGTTAATTTTACAAGTACTGAATATCCCTCTTCATTCTCCCCACTTACTGACTTTTCCCAAGAATCTGATGACATTCTGGAGTCAACTTCATGTCAGCTTGGGAAGCATGTTGGTAGGCTGAGATCATTCATAAATACAATTGGGCAGCATGTTGGTGCAGGCTTGGAGGGCCGAAGTGCCTGTTCCTGTACTGTAATTTTCTTTGTTCTAATTGTGTCCTCAGTGGTCAAGAACAGCAAGCATAAGCATGAATGAGAGCTAATTTCTTTCTCCCTTTCTTTGCACGGGGACACAGAGGCCAGTTATAGAACCATCAAAACAGATTAGAGAATTTAAACTTGACCAGGTTTCAAAGCTTCTACTTTAGGCTCAGAAACATGTTATACTGAATATGTACTAATAAAGTTACAACACAGGCACTTTGTCCTGTAATAATTCTACAGCTTTAATCTCACTTTGCACCATTGAAATGTATTATTAAGTGGAAAAATGTTTATTACAGACATTTATCTCAAAACATGTCATTCTCGGGTTATGAGATAAAGTTTTGAAAACTTCAATGATGTACATCACATGCCCAAAACGTCTGCAACACCAATTTGACATTTACATTCCAGAAGGCAGGCCACGACTCCAGAAAATGTAGTGGAAGGTCAGTGATTCAATTCATGTCTCCACACACAGCTTCAGCATGGCAATTCCACACACGGCTTATGTTGTAAGCCACACTTGTTGGGAAGCAGCTAGTTAAGGCTACCTACTGTTCTACAGGAGCAAAGCAAACAACACTCATTTTGCACCATTTTCATATGAAATGGTATTGATTGTTATGTACTATAGTTGGATAAGTTATGTTGGGACAGCGTTCCTTTCAGAGGTGAGCCATTCTGATGAGTCATCAAACAGGTGCGTGGGCTTGTTGCAATTTGTTTCAAATTTTGAAGAGTGCATCACTATGGAATAAAGCGTCCCTGTTGTGATACAGCAAATGACAAGTTCCTATGTTCTTTAATTCTCACTGGAGCATTGTAACTGCCCAGTACAAAATACTGATAAAATGGTTGCTTTAAATGAAGGAAGTAATCAATAACATTAGAATAAAGGATGAGGAAAACAAAATCACATGCATATTATAAGTCCCATCCTTGGAGTAGGATTTGGAGACAGAATATTATCACTCACAGCATTACATCATTTAGATTGTTGGAATAAATTTTCTAGTAAAAATACTGCCACATAAAACTAAAAGGCTGAAACAATCAACCAACTAATAATTTGCAGAGGGTGCAGAAGAGGTTTACCAGGATGCTGTTTGGATTAGAGGGTATGAGCTAAGGAGAGGCTAGAAAAACTTGGTTTGTTTTCTCTGAGGGGCGGAGGCTGAGGGGAGGTCTATAAAATTATGAGATGCGTAGTTGGGTTGACGGTCAGAAATTTCTTCCCAGAATTGAAATGTCTAAAACTAGGGGCCATGCATTTAATGTGAGGGGGGTAAAGTTCAAAAGTAGGTGTGAGGGGCATTTTTTTTAAACACAGAGTGTGGTAGGAGAGCAGACAGAAGGGATTAGTTTAATTTGGCATCATGTTCAGCACAACACTGTGGGCCTAAGGGCCCGTTCCTGTGCTGTACTGTTCTATGTTCTACCAGATAAGAAACAATTTCCTATGACTAAATATTACACACACCAAAGCCATTGTCTTTAGTCCCCATCACAAATCTAGACAACAATTGCATCTCTCTGCCTAGGAATGGCCCAGGCTCAATCAGCCTATTTACAACCTAGGTGTCATACTTAATCCTGAAATGAGCTTCTGATTATATATCCACACTCAAATTGTCTATTTCGACCCTTATTCCTGCCTTAGCACACGTGTCCTTAAAACCATAATCCATGCTTTTATTACCTCCAGACTTAATTATTCCAATGTATCCCTGGCCAGTCTCTCCTTCTCTACCCTCAGTAAAGTTGGGGTCATCCAAAACTCTACAATCAACGTGCTAACTTACACCAAAATTCATTCACCCATTAGCTCTGTGCTTGGTGACCAACTTGGCTCCCGATTAAGCAACGTCTCAATTTTAAAATGATCATCACATCATCAATTCCCTCAAGGCCTTGCCTCTCCTCATCTGTGTAACTTCTTTAAACCCAAAAACTCTGAGGTGTCAGCATTCTTCCAATTCTGACATTTTGGGCAACACGGATTTTAAATATTCTACGAAAATACTATTGGTGGCCAAGGCCCCAAGTTCTGAATTCCCTCCCTAACCTTCTCTTTGATCAGAAAGAATCTGGAAACTCTCTTTTTGAATACTTTTTTAGTCATTGGTCCAAATATCTGCCTAAGCTATTCTTACGCCCACAAAGTTTATCTGACCAGAAATCTCTGCCACTCATTGCAGATATGAAGACCTCCACTAACAATGTAACAATGCATTTTGCAGTAAATAGCTTAGGTTAGCAAGACTGCTTTTATTATTGAGAATTCTGAGGAAAACTTGCCCATAATCCAATCTGCAGCAACTCCAAAAGAATATTCTCCACAAAACCAAGGGGACAAATATAAACGTAACTTTTTTTATTCATTATGGGATGAGGGCATTGCTGGCTAGGCCAGCATTTTTTGCCCATCACAAATTGCCGAGAGGACAGTTTCGAGTCAACCATATTGCTGTGGGTCTGGAGTCATATTTGGCCAGATAAGGTAAGGACGGCAATTTCCTTTCCTAAACGTCATTAAAGGACTTCTTCCATTACATTTGAAGGTATGGAGCCAGAGGTCTGTTTATAAGCAAACGTACTGAAAATAGGGTAGACTCATTTCTTTAAATTTTTGGTGTAACTTGTAGCAATGCTACCTGGTTGTTGCTGATGCCTGTCTCACATTGACTTTTTTAAATGAATAAATCAGTCAGAAGCCCCAGTGAGCTTTATGTTTGAGTGTAGAACTCTGTTTTTTCTGTCAAAAGCCAGAGTCAAATGTTCATGGCTTACATATCAATTTAAAAGATGCCAAGTCTTTATAAAACATAAAATCAAACTTGTGGATGCTACAGAAACTTTATGGACTGAAACATGGTTATGGATATTTGCTTACTTAAGGAAGGACAACACAATTCTCCAAGTATTTCAAAGACTTTTTGTAATCTAACTGTCAATATTTAGGTTTTGCCTCTTTGAATGACTAAAATATGATGTACTGGAATTTATCCAAATGAATACAGTTAAACCCATCTTCAATATGAGCGATAAGAAAGGGAAAGCAAAGGTTATAAGGGAAATTATTTTAGGCGTCTAGGTTAGCAATTCAGGTTTATTAAACTAATAAATCTATAATTGGAATGTTAGTGACCTTGATTACTATTGCTTGCCATCAATTCACAAACTGTGACATTGACACACAGTTACCCTCGAGAGATGAGGAAGGAAGAACCTGCCAGAAGGTTAAATCAGTTTAAATAAACAAAATTACAATGGAATGACTCAGTGATGCTTAATCTCATGTTATTCCTAATGTTTACTCACCAGTGTCCACAGGACATAGATGGTGAAAAGTGCAACGGTGAGTGCAATGAGTCCAACTGCCTCCAGGCGGCTATTGAATTGTAGATGATCCTGTGCTCCTCGCAAACAAAGCCAACCAGAGATTGCTGCTAATGGTGTGATGAAAAGAAAGCAAATCATGTCACAAAATAACGTCCTCTTCTCATTCCTGGGACCTGGGTCTCTGAGCCACTGAAAGACAGAACAGTTGCATTATCTAAATAAAAGTATGGTGCTTCAAAAGAAACATACAGCAGAATTAGCTTATTGTTTCTTGATGAACATCATGAGGAAATGGTCACATTTATAATGCCAGGAAAGTGGAGGAAAATTCCTGTGTGCAATGCAACAAAACTGTATACTTATTCTTTATAAATGAATCTGTGATTTTTTTTTACAGAAAGCGTGTTGAGGAAACCTTCCCCACAATACTCTGCAAGGTTGGCTGATCGTAGTATGACTGCCATTATTGTTGTTTTTAAAATTGGCACCAATTCCAATGGACTAAATACATTCATAGCCCAATAACTAGGATATGCTTTCCAAGAAGGGTAATAATTTAAACATTTAGGGCAGCACAGTGGCTCAGTGGTTAGCACTGCTGCCTCACAGTGCCAGGGACCCGGGTTCGATTCCGCCCTCGGGCAACTGCCTGTGTGCAGTTTGCACACGTTCTCCCTGTGTCTGTGTGTGTTTCCTCTGGGTGTTCTGGTTTCCTCCCACAGTCCAAAGATGTGCAGGTTAGGTGGATTGGCCATGCTAAATTGCCCATAGTGTTCAGGGATGTGTAGATTAGTTCGGTTATAGGGGGATGGGTCTGGGTGGGATGCTGTGATGATTGGTGTGGGCTTGTTAGGTTGAATGGCCTGTTTCCAAACTGTGGGGATTTTATGAACAATTAGAACATAGAACATAGAACAGTACAGGCCCTTCGGCCCACGATGTTGTGCTGAACTTTTACCCTAAACCGAAGGTCTATCTAACCTCCACTGCTACCTTATACTATCATCCATATGCCTATCTAATAGCTGCTTAAATGCCCCTAATGAGGCCGACTCCACTACCCTCTCCGGAAATGCATACCACGCCCCTACCACTCTCTGAGTAAAGAACTTACCTCTGACGTCTCCCCGATATCTACCTCCTTTCACTTTAAAACTATGTCCCCTCGTAAAAGCTACCTCCACCCTAGGGAAAAGTCTCTGGCTGTCTACTCTATCTATACCTCTGATCATTTTGTACACCTCATCAAGTCACCTCTCATCCTTCGTCGTTCTAAAGAGAAAAGCCTTAGCCCTCTCAACCTTTCTTCGTTCCCTTCATTCCAGGCAACATCCTGGTAAATCTCCTCTGCACCTTTTCCAACGCTTCCACATCTTTCCTGTAATGAGGTGACCAGAACCGGACACAATACTCCAGATGTGGCCGAACCAGGCTTTTGCACAGCTGGAGCATAACTTCACGGCTCTTGAACTCAATCCCTCTATTAATGAAAGCTAACACACCATACGCCTTCTTAACAACTCTATCCACCTGGGGGGCAGCTCTCAGGGAACTGTGAACATGAACCAAGATCCCTCTGCTCCTCCACAATGCCAAGAATCTTTCCGTTAACCCTGTATTCTGCTTTCAAGTTTGTGCTTCCAAAATGAATCACCTCACACTTTTCAGGGTTAAACTCCATCTGCCACTTCTCAGCCCAGCTCTGCATTCTATCAATGTCCCTTTGTAACCTAGAAGAATTCTATGAACAAACATGATAGCATACCACCCAGTGGAACAGGCAATAAGTTGAATGTGTACTTTTCTCTTAGCTAAGTTGAAGGTGCCATACAAATTTGAGTTGCTGCTGTAGGGTTTTAAACAAAAAATCAACTCATGTCAAGAAGTATTTTTGGTACAACTCCTCAGAATATTTCAGGGCACAAAATGCTTCCCCACCGCTTCTCTATCTCTTAGATCGCAATCTCAGATTTTAAATTTTAAAATGAAACATAGCAATAGCATTCACTACACATTCCCCCATATAATGGCTCCTGAAGTTACGTGGTCTTCAACTTGAAATTTCACATTAATTTGCAAGGAATTCATTATCTCAGTGATTTCAAATGTTTTGGCTCCCAGTTAGCCGAGTATTTCTTTGTTGACAAGTTTTAAACTGTTCCCTCTCCTTTGCAGCATCCCTCCCCAACATTGCAGCCCCTCTGGCCTTGACAAATTGCTCTCCAATGGAGAAAAGACCCCATTCCCAACTCATGACAAGAGGCATCTCTGACTCCCCAGTGACTCCCTCACTGTTGCCACTTTTCCAATTGTTCACTGTAATTTCAATCACGCGCTGTTTCTCTCCCATGTTTATTGCTGGAACCCATCAGCAGTAAATACGAGGGAGAACCAGCCTATGAATGGAGGAGTAGCCAATTTTGTCCATGCTACTTACTCTGATTGTTTGCCCCCAATTGAAGATTTCCTTGCATTTTGGTGACTTACAAAGACAAATTTGTTCACTTTCCTCATGTATTTTGAGCTATGCTGTACTTTGCTCTTTTCTTTCCTTCTCTTATCCACCAAGTTTAATTACATCATCGTTATAACGTTCTGTATTTACACATTCGGTCAAATAGTAGAGAAAGTATTATATAAAATATTGCTCAGGAAAAACTGGCTTGTTTTATTTAGTCCTTTAAAGTTTGAAAAAAATTAATAAAATATTGCTATTTATAATACAATAATATTGCTTATGATAATTTTACTAACCCTACCTCTCTCAAAGGTCTAGGCCTTCGCTCCACTACAAACTCAGTGTGACAAAGTTCGCAGTAGCTGGTGTTGGAAGATGAAAGCCATCGCTCCAGGCAGGTTTTGTGAACTGTGCCAAGTGTTCCAGTGCAATCACAAGGTGACAGCAAGCCTTCCATGTTGCTGCCCTCATGACATATCCGGCAAATTGGCCCATCACTAGAAATGAAACATACACACCATGACTTAATGCATTTTGTATGGTAAATTAAGTACCTGACTTCATATTATAAGCTGATAATGCAGGAACCAACAAAGGAACCAAAAAGAATTGATTATGAATTCCACAGCAGTTAGACAGACTGACCGATACCATAAGCAGAATATGGAATAAAGTGGAAATACCAGAGAGTAATTTCCAGTCTGTAACCTAATCTTGGCATTTGATGAGGCTTATTAACTGTCTGAAATTCACACTCATTTATTTCCAACCATTAAATTATGGCACTTCATTCCCATTTGCACATGATACTTATGCCAAGGAGAAAATGATAAATCTTCATTAGCAAAAGACAAGTAGTAAAAATAAAATCAAAACTTTTATGATCATCCCTCAGATATGTAGGGTTCTTTACAATGTTTGACTGAAATTTCATTGAATTAAAATACATTTTCTATTTTATCAATTATTGAGGAATTCAGATTTACTCAGCTGGTGAATTTGGAAGTCAATGGATAGGTTGAATTAACTGCTCCATTCAGATCCAAGTGAAACAAATAAAAGGCATGACATCTCCGAGGTGAAGGAGGGAAAAAAAAAATCAAAAGTGTGCCTGTCTAGTGTTTGGTACTTCTCACTATCCAGCTACCCAGAAAACACTTTGCAAGAATCTGGTGCAAGTAGCTAATACTCAGAGTTCCCATCCTATATCAACTCAATGTAGCAGAAATACTTCCAGAGTTTTAATTCTGTAATAAATGCAAGATCAAAACTGAATTTATCTCAAATTTTAAGTTATGAATTTTAAAAAGTAAGTAACTGTTTTTACGAGTCACATAGTTGTACTCCGGTCTAATCAAAGAATTAAGGAAACAGAAAACCATTCCTTGAGATAGGAGATCTGCTATGTCACACCCTAAGAAAAGTGACAGGGCAACCAGGGAATTACTGACCTCTTACCTTAAACAACGGTTATAGGAAAATTACTAAGCTTACAATTAAGGATGAGTTGACTGAATACCCAGAAAAAAAAAAATCAGCTGATCAGAGCAAGCCATCATGGATCTGTAAACATCAAGTCACATCTAACAAACATTAATTTTTTTTTGAAGTGGTGACGCAAGTAAAGTAGCAGATGTTAAAGTAGTGGTTGTTATTCATATAGACATACAGAAGGTATTTGATTGATCACTCATAGGAGACTGTTAGCTAAAGCTGAAGCTTATGGAATTGAAGTCATACGATTGAATTGATGAGAAAATAGGCAGACAGGAAGAGGACTGAGAGTGGAACTAACAGGCAGGATTGTAAGATGTAACATGCAATGTGCTGCAAAGATGGGAGTTAAGGCCTCACATTTCCATGTATTGCTACATTAAATAAATACAAAGCTACATATCCAAATCTGCTGTGACAAAAGGTAGAAAGCATCGTAAATAGTGTAGACGAAAGAATAATAATACAGACGTCAACACATTAAATTAATGGTTAAAGCTGTTACAAATGAATATCAAAGTAGGCGAATGTGCAGTCATCTATTCAATGTCTTCAAAGGGCAAAACAGATTACTTTACAAATGGTGAAAAACAAGAAGCAGTTGAGATCCAAGACTTTAAAAGAGAATAGATAGGGTGTAAAGTAGGGAAAAGCATGCAAATGCCTGTGCCCCAATGCACATGAGATAGCAAGCAAGAGAGCACAGGATCGCACAAAAACGCAATGGCTGAAAAGTCTAAGACCAAGATTGAACAGTCAAAAAATTATAGTCAGATCTTTCAGGAATGAAATTAGGAATCTCCTCTCTATGCCAAGCGTGAAAGTTTAGAACTCTTTTCCACAAAAGGCAGTTTATGCCAGATCAATCTTTAATTTTGAATCTGACACTGACAGATTTTAGTTTATCCAAAGGTATTAGGAATACTATGAGATAGTAAGAACTGCCGATGTTGGAGTCAGAGGTAACACACAGTGTGGAGCTGGAGGAGCACAGCAGGCCAAGCAGCATCAGAGGAGCAGGAAAGTTGATGTTTTGAGTCAGGACCCTTCTTCAGAAATGGGGGAGGTGGAAGGGAGCTCCGAAATAAATAGAGAGGAGGGGTGGAGCTGGGGAAAGTAGGAATCATCTGGAATTTGCTGGAATCATCAGTAAATGCATTTTACATAACTCACCACTTACAATGTGTTAGAAAAGATGGAATTTGCATTAGTATAGGGAAGAGGGGGAAAGGGATAAGTATTTTAAAAAAAAAAAGAAAATCCAATAAAGTAAAACAGGAAGGTACCTTAATGATCTGTTGTTTCACAGATTCTCCCCTTGCTTCCATAAGCTCCTTTACCCTGCAACTTTGAGATATCTGTATTCATCTAATGTGGGCCTCGAGAATCTCTGTTTTTAACTGCTGCATTTTTGGTGGTCAAAGCTTTAGCTACCAAAGAAATTCCACTCCCTAAATTTCTCCAACTCTTTCCTCCATACAACCTCTCTCTTTAACATGGGTTATGGTCACCTGCCCTAATGTCTCCCTTATGTGGCATACACAGTATTTCTGCTTTATTATAGCGATATGAAGGATCTTGTGTTGTCTTATGTTAAAGGCATTATATAATAAGTAGATTTTTAAAAAAAATGATTCATACGATGATGTTGTCATCACTGACTGGCCCAGCATTTATTGCCCATCCTTTATGGTCTTTGGGAAGGTTGAGGTAAATTGCCTTTTGAACTGTTGTAGTCCATGTGCTGTAGGTACACCCACAATGATGTTTTAAGAGGGTGTTCCAGAAGTTAGACAAACAACACTGAAAGAACAGCAGTATATTTCCAAATCAGGAAGGTGAGTGGCTTGGAGGAAAACTTGCTGGTGGTGGTGTTCCTATGTATTTGCTGACCTTGTCTTTCTAGATAGAAGCGGTATGGGTTTGTCCTGTCTAAGGATACTTGGTGAATTTCTGAGTGTACTTGTATGTGGTACACACTGCTCATGCTGAGCATCAGTAATGGAGAACACAGGAACATGTGTAGGCCATTCAGCCCCTTGAGCCCCCTCCACCATTCAAATTGTGACCTATCTGTGGCCTAACTCCACAAATCTCCACAGGGAGGCAATGGCCTACTGGTATTATCGCTGTCTGTTAGTACAGACACCCAGGAATGTTCCGGGGACCCTGGTTTGAATCCTGCTAGGGCAAATGGTGGAATTTGAATTTAATTTTTTAAAAAATCTGGAATTAAGAGTCTAATGATGACTACGAAACCATTGTCAGTTATCGGGAAAAATCCAACTGGTTCACTAATCCCCTTTAGGGAAGGAAGCTGCCAACCTTACCTTAACCACAACAATGTGGTTGCCCTCTGGGCAATAAGGGATGGACAATAAAAGCTGGCCTAGCCAGTGATGCCCTCATTCCGTGAATGAATAAAAAAACCTGCCTTTGGTCCATATCTCTGAATACTTTTGCTTCACAAAAATATTGCGCTTTATCTCAGATTTAGAATTAACAACAAATCCAGCATCCACTGCCGTTTGTGGAGAGAGTTCTGATCCATTTCAGTGTAGAAATGCTTCCTAACATCTCTCCTGAATAGTCTGGCACGGATTCTCAGACTATGTCCCATTTCAAGGATCCCAACCAATGGAAATTGTTAATCTTTATCTACCCTGTCTTTTCCTGATACTAGAATAGGAAAGGTTTGGAGGGATATGGGGCAGGAGCAGGCAGGTGGGACTAGTTTAGTTTGGGATTATGTTCGGCATGGACTGGTTGGACCGAAGGGTCCGTTTCCGCGCTGTATGACTCTATCTTGAAGACTATGATCAAATCACTCTTAACTGTCTAAATTCTAGAGAAAACAGGTGTAATTTGTGTAATTTCTCCACATAAAATTATGAGAGGCATAGTTAGGGTACATGGTTGGAGTCTTTTTCCCAAGGTGAAAAAGTCAAATACTAGGGGGCATAGGTTTAAGGAAAGAGGGAGACTGTTTTAAGGAGATGTGCAAGTCAAGTTTTTTTTTTAAAGAAAACAGAGGGTGATAGGTGCCTGGAACACATTGCAAGGAGAGGTAGTAGAAGCAGCAGAAATAATAGTAACATTTAAAAGAACTTAGACAGACGCATGAACAGGCAAAGAATAGAGGGATATTGACCATGTGGGGACAGATGAGATTTATGTCGAATGGCATTGTGGTTGGTACAGACATAAATGGGCCAAAGAGCCTGTTCTTTTGTTGTACTGATCTATTTTCTAACTTAAGCCCTTAAATTCAAGTATCAGAGAGAATGTGGATGCTTGTGGATATGGTGCCAGCCAAGCGGCTGCTTTGTCCTGTGTGGTGTCAAGCTTGATGAATGTTGCTGGAGGCATATTCACCCAGGAGAGTGGCAAGTTTTCTATCACGTTCCTGACTTGTGCCTTGGAGATGGTGGATGGATTCTGGGGATTCAGGAGGCGAGTTACTCATGATTACTGGCATGTTGATTAAAACTGGGGAGGCAGCGGCATAGTGGCAATGTCACTGGACTAGTTATCCTGAACCTCAGGTTAATGTTCGAAGACATGGTGAAATTTGAATTCACTAAAATCTGGAATTATAAAGCTGGGCTAATGGCAACTATGAAAGTACAGTTGATTGTTTCGAAAACCCATCTGGTTCACTATTATCCTTTAAAGGAGAGAAACCTGCTCCTTACTTAGGCTGGCCTACAAATAATTCCAGAGCCACAGCAATGTGATTGACTCTGGGCAGTTGGGAACTGGTAATAGATACTGACCAAACTAGCGACACCCATATTCTTTGAGCGAATTTTGCAAAAGTGATATCCTGCAGTTACCAAAGCTCATTGTAATATCTTAAGCCAACAGACATGCAACTTGGCCTTCTAATAAACTGCAGAGAGAAAAAAAACCTTGTTGTAAAGTACAATAGTCTGTAAGGTGCTGAACAATACACTCATTTCACAACATGCTCAAAACATTCGGAACAATAAAGGGCACATGCATTTGTATTTTCTCATGTTAGCACCTAACCTCCATTTACCTTTGAGTGCTTAGAGCCTTAATGACAGTTGACAACAGGCGTCCATTTTTTGCTGTTACTTGTGCGACGTACTGAGGTCGCCCTGCATCAGCTGCTGTTACCGTCTTAGAAAAGGCGGCACTGCCAGTACAATCACAAAGAGATCCTGGAAGATGACAGCAGTCACCTGTTGTCATGGCAACAAGGAGTTAATGCTTCCGGCATTCACCTGGAAAAAAAATTAGGAACACCAATGCTTTCAATAAAGTTTGGAAAAGCTTAGTCTCCTCATCACCAATAAGTATAATGAAACCTCATCATGACAGTATATAAGCTTTCAGTATTCTACTTCAATAAAGGCCAAAATAACGATAATACACATCGGGAAGTAAGATGTAAAAAGAATACTCGGAAGTAGCCACAATTCATGCTTGATAGTGAAACTTTGTGATCAATCCGTTTCAAATCATTTGTAATGCTAACTCTTAGGAAGGGCAAAACTGCAAAAAAGAATTTCCAACTTTGAGAAAAGCTCTGGAAATTCCCCACAACATGATGAGTCAAACAAGCAACTTCCAATACATCTATGTTCACGATTGTTTATTGCTTTGAAAGAAATGAGACACCTTAGCCCTTTCTCTACCTATGCTCTTCAACCATAAATTGTATACAATTTGGAAAAGTTATGTCTTCTGGTATTGTCTATTGACTTCCTACATCATTTCTCTCATTCCCTTCAATACCCACGAATATTAAATATATTCGCCACCATCTTCACATCTGTAATACTTGTACTGCCACCCTCAACAGGGCTATTTCACACACTTATTCACATATAACCTTAAAACCAAATTCTCTTATCCTAGACTTTGTGTTCGTAATGAATGTCATCTTAAGATCCTGTTGATCTATTCCCCTTAAATATCAAAGGGCAATACTTCAAAATATGAATGAAAAAAATAGCAAAACTTGCATAAAACTCTGGTCAGGCTATATTTAGAATACGGTGCACATTTGTGGTCTTCATATAATGAAAAAGAGACAGGGATTGGAGAATGCGTGGAGAAGGTTTACAAAATACATACCAGAACTGCTAAATGTTTGAAACATTGTTGATTGTATTATTGCTTTACTTTGAATTCACACTGCCCTATTTGAGTATGAATAGCAACAAGTATATTTGTAATGAAAACAAGATAAATGTTTCGTAATCTTTTTCTTCCTTTCCTGGAGATAAAGATTTCTCGTGGTATGATGCTGTCAACACCTTCACAAGAGCAACTAGGGACAGTCAATAAGTGTTGTTCTCGGCAGTGACACCAACATCCCATGAATAAATTTTAAAAAAAAATTGAGGATCACAGCTACTAGGAAACATTGAACAGATTGGGTCTCTTTGGAAAAGGGAAGACTTATAGGTGCAAAAACAGAAATTGCTGGAAAAGCTCAGCAGGTCTGGCAGCATCTGTGGAGAGAAATCAGAGTTAATGTTTCAGATCCAGTGACCCTTCCTCAGTACTGGACCCAAACAAACTCTGATTTCTCTCCACAGATGCTGCAAGACCCGCTGAGCTTTTCCAGCAATTTCTGTTTTTGTTTCTGATGTCCAGCATCCACAGTTCTTTCTGTTTTTATTAAGTCTTTTATTGATACTTATAGGTGATCTGATTGAGATCTTAAAAAATATGAATGAGTTGAACAGCCCATGTGGAAATAAAGAATGCTTCCACTTGTGGGAAATTTCAAAAGCAAAGTCCAGAATATACAAAATAGTTTTATATAAATCCAACAAGGAAATAAGCAGAAATTTCTTATTTACAAAGTGGTTAAATGTGGAAGTTACCGCCACAGGAATGGTTGTATGCAAATAGCACAGATACATTCAAAAGGAAACTAGATAGTATGTGAGAAAAGAGTAGAAAGAAAACGGAGATAAGATGGATGGAATGGGAGGAGACTCAGGTGGAGTATAACATCAATATAGACTAGCTGGTTTGTTTAACTGCTGAATATTCTATGTAAAAGACAGCTGTAGCATTGTCTTTAGCAATAAAGATCTTTTTATAATCCACTAAAGTTGATCAGTTCAGAAAGAATGACACTCCCTTCTTTCCACCACACGTGTCACACTTAGGCTGCTAAAATTTGCAACTTCCCTCCTTTTCGATATATCATCATTTGTTATAGTCACTTGCAATCTTAAAAACTACCCTGAGAAATATGGATAGGGAAGAGCAAAGCGAGAGCAAAAAAAAATGGTTTTGTATAATAAGTGCCAAGAGTTACTAACTTGTATTGAAGCTTCCCATCTGGAAACTACAACACAAAAATAGTACTTGACATGTGCGTACCTTTGTTGTTCCAGAGTACAATTGTAGTTTTTTTTGGAAAACATAAGGAATTGAATTCTACCTAAACAAAAAAACTACTGTTAAATCTCATTGGTTCTAATAGCTCTTTAGTTCTTTGTTGTATGCATATCTGATGCATTAGACATCATTTTATGTAGTCAGGGACTTTGTTGTCATGAGAAAGTCAGGGCAAAGGCCTATGACTTAATTTGTTAAGGTTAAATATGCCTACGAAAATTTCTTTCAATGAAAGCCTTATAAAAATACTGCCTCCAGTGGCCATTGTGACAAAACTGGAAGCCACAGGAATGCATGGTTGAATCACTGGTTACTCCAACATCTGTGTAAGATCAGATGCGACAAGTAAGCATTCCCCACACCCCCAAACCAATTTCTCTCTCGAAGTAAGAGGAAATTACTGCAGATGCTGGAATCTGAACTGAAAACAAAAAAATGTTGGAGATCACAGTGGGTCAGGCAGCATCCATGGAGAGAAAGCAAGCTAACGTTTCGAGACTAGATCACACTTCATCAGAGCTGAAGGGAAGTTTCGAAGACAAGGTTGTCTACTATAGCCCACAGTTTTGGCTGACTAAATTACATCAACTTCATTACATTTGGGAGTCCCTAACCTCAGGTAAGTAGAGCTTTTCCCTAATGCAAGCTAGTGTGCGGTTTGCATCAAGTGAAAAGAAATTTTAATGCATTTCACAGTAATGATGGTCAGGTTCTGCATACAACAGGCATCCAGTGACAAAAGAAATGCAAATCTTGCATTCTGATCAGGTGTATCATTCCTAATTTTCCTCATCCAAAAACAGGCTGACAACTTTTTCAAAGCAATTGATAGCAACCATGCTGAATCTATTTCTCACAAATATATATTTGTAAATAAAGATTAGGGATTTTTTTTTCCAACTGCAAAGTTTTTTTCTGTGTGAAACTGGTCAATACGGACCTTCCAAAAAGTGAGTTTTTGAATAATTGCAGATTTGGAAGCAGAATTCAATTGGAATCTCAAACAAAAGCAGACAGCCAGCATTATGCAAGAAAATGGATTTTATTTGTCACACTATGGAAACGCCCAGTTGGAAGCTATGTAGGAAACTGTTCACTCACACACACATCTGGAGGGGGTTATAAGATCAAGTTTAAGAAACCATAAATGGAATGTTTTTCTTGAATGTAATTCACAGCAGTACAGACTGAGACCATATTGTTCTTAGTTTACACAAAACTTATTAAAAACAAAAAAAATGGAAAGTTATATCAATCAGAACTTATAACAATTAAACACACTCTATATTACATCTTCAGTAATGGCACAAAGCTGATTTATACTTTACTTACCTGTCCCATCCAAACTACCATGGTCTTAAGCACCAAGTCACACCTTAACCTTTCCCACAAATATTATGCCATGTCCTCATTCAAACATTTAATTCGGTTCCACTTCTCAAGCTCCCTTTACACTCCTTGCCACCTACGAAGTCTAATCCTGAGTTTCTCACACAGCTATAACTCTATTATTCTTAAGCCTCTGCATTACAATTCATACTCATGTTCCATTTTCTATTTCTTTTGAATTGTCTGCCTTCCAAACTCTCTCTATCCATAAAAATACTCTCCAACCCATAATCATAGACACCCCTTGACTGTACTGTATCTTGTGCCCTTAATGACAAACAAGTTTATCACTGACCTTTACCACAGACTTCTCCATTTACCACACAGATTAAAAAAAACAACTAACTGATTGTTACAACCACACTCCAAAATCTTTGTCCTCTGTTTGCTACACAATTATCTGCTCATTTGATGGCTACAACGAAGCAACCCATGGGTCAGTTGATAGCACTACCACGCTGCATCATAAAGTACCATAATCAAGTCCCACACCACAATTTGAAAACAAAAAGATTAGATATGGGGGATGCAGGCTTACAGGGAAAGGGTAGGGGGATGGGTCTAAGTGGGATGCTCTTCGGAAGGACGGTGTGGACTTGTCGGGCCAAATGACCTATTTCCACACTGTTAGGGATTCTATGAAAAAAAATGAAAGCTAGCACTCCACTGCATAACTGTGGAAGTGCTGCACTGGGCATAGTGGTGTCTTTCAGGTGAAATATTAAACCAAGGCTTTGGGTGTCCGGTCTGTGAATGTAACAATCCCACATCAATATTTCAAAAGATTAGGGGAGTCATGTGCAATGTCTCGATCAATACTTATCCCTCAGTCAGCATCACAAAAAAGTGATTATCCAGTGATTATCACATTGCTGTTTGTGGGAGACTACTGTGCACAAATTAGCTGCCATGTTTCCTACACTACAAGAGTAAGGACTTTAAAGTACACCATTGATTGTAAAGCCCTTTGAGATGTCCAGTGCACATGAAAGGCTCAATACGAATGCTGAGTTTTTTTAAACAATGCCCCATCAAAACCTCTATCATCTCCTATCTCTAGGACTACCCATGATGCCATTTGACTCCCTCAAATCAAAGGAACACAAAAGCAAGCATCCCTGGTACAGAACTAATGCGGTCAATCACCAGATCTGGCTCAACATCAAATTTTACTGTACCTCATCATCTTTTGTTTAAGGCGGCACGGTGGGTCAGTGGTTAGCACTGCTGCCTCACAGCACCAGGAACCCGGGTTCAATTCCACCCTTGGGCACCTGTCCTTGTAGAGTTTCCACACTCCCACCCCATGTCTGCATGGATTTTCTCCGGGTGCCCCAGTTTCTTCCCACAGTCCAAGATGTGCAGGTTAGGTGGATTGGCCATGCTAAATGCAGCGTTACAGGATAGGGGGTTGAGCCTGAGTGGGATGCTCTTCGGAGGATTGGTGTGGACTGTATGATCCAAATGGCCT